TTTGTTGTATAATTAGCCTTTGGACTGATGAGGACGCACGTAAATAATCAAAGAATTTAACTAGATTGAATTCTGTTGTTGGCGAAATAATAATCTATTATAAATAGCACTACTAGCATATAATTTTATCATGATATATAGGCTAAAGAAATGTTTCTCTGAATCAGCAACAAAGATAATATTATCCGGGAACTTACGAATCTCCTGCAGGGGTTTCAAATAACTGAATCGTGCTCCTGGTAAAATCCATCTTTCTTAATTTTTTTCAAGAAATATTTTCATGCCGTACATGATAAATATGCCCTATTTTGCGATGCACCTCATTTCGTACTAAACACTAAAACTTCACCAAGAAACTCGGTATATATCCCACAACTACTTTTAACTGTTGTCCATAAATGACTCCATAATGACTGTCATGCATAAAATATATCTAATTCTGTGGCCATTTCAGGGTCAAGTAACATGAAGTACAGTCTATACGAAATGCAATAAATGCGCTGTATACCAACCTCACCTGAAACGCTAGGAGTTGCTTAACTTATCAACCGTCACTAGATACCCCGTCTTAAAGTAAAAATTAAAAAAAAATGTTCAAATATTAGTTCTTTCCTAAACATGAAACAAAGAGGGACTGGTTTTCGAGCGAGTGAAAAACCATGACTGACTGCATTCAGTATCTCTCGTTGGTCTTGCTACCGAGGCTTATCGCGTTGAGGGTCACACAGCAAAGGAAATATATATATGGCTCATTCATATCAAGAAAAAATTATGTGCAGAAAGTCGAAGTGATAATGATAAGGGAGCTGGTAATTATTCACAGAAGGCACACTGATATGCTGTTTGCCCATATTAACAGGGGCTCTTAAAATTCAGAACCTCAAAACAACGAAAGGATTAGAAAATCAGTTGTAATATAGTAAAATTAAAACGTAACAAATTAATTTTTACTCTTTCAAAAGATTTTACAGTTATAATGTCAGTAAATATCAATCTTATCACTTTCATCCGTCTTGTATTAGGTCATGTGGCGTGCTTCAAGAGAGATCTAACGTCTGAAACCATTCACTAATACCATGGAGCAGAGCCCCTTCTTAGAAGCCATCAGTCGCTCAGTCACTCAAGAATTCCTCAACATTTTATAGAACCCGAAGGTTCCTTTTCGTTGTAACGAGAGCCCTGCATCAGTCCCTATCCTGAGCCAGATCAATCCAGTCCATACCAACCAATATTAACTCTCTAAGATCCACCTTAATGCTGTCCTCCAACCTGCGTCTGTATATTCTTAGTGACCTGTTTCCTTCTGGCTTTCCCACCAAATTCCTATATGTATTCCTCTCTCCCGTGCGTGCTGCTCTCCTTGCCCATCTCATCCTCCTTGACTTGATCATTGTAATTATACTTGGGAAGAGAACAAGTTAGGAAGCGCCTCATTATGCAGTTTTCTCCAACCTCCCGTCACTTCATCTCTCGTCGGTCCAAATACGAGTATTCTCCTCAACACCCTGTTCTCAAACACACTAAGCCTATGTTCCTCCCTTAATGTCACAGTTTCACACCCATACAAAACCACAGGCAAAATTATAACTTTGTACATTCTAAATTTTACGTTTTTAAAGAGTCCGAAAACAATTAGCCTTGTAAGAGTATTTATCTAGCAGGAGTCCACCTAAGATAGAATGGCCTACCTCAAGGTATGAAAAATCAGCGAGCCTATCTGTTACACTGATCTAGATACCAAGATGGCTGATGCAGTAAAAGCGAACCGGATTCACATTCGGAAGGTACAGGGTTTGAATTCCAGGTACAGACAGATTTTTCTAGAGAGACATGAGCTATTTTTCTTTGTCCCTCAAACCCTGACCTGAGTGGATTTGTGTAATTATTCCCAATCTCCACAACTGAATTCTAAGGCAATATAAAGATACTGAACCGCTGTTGCTCTCCACGTTCCTCGCAGCTTATCAACACTCGTGCCCGCTCTGGCCTTCCTGACTAACAGAGGTACAGTATCGCAAAACGCTAAGCGATTGACTTCAGTTACTTTCCCTCGGAACAATTTGCCATTATCGTCTTTACTCGTGTCATCCGATGCTGCACAATCTTAGTCACCGACATCTGCACCCGCAAGCAGCCTGAGTAAACAAACGAATCCCGACGAAAAGAGATGCAGCAGTGGTGTGACAGCTTGCATGTAGTGGACATCTTGTCAGATGCCCGACAGCGTGTTATCCTACTCCTTATCTGAAACTGTATTCATTTGCATTTGGGCTTGTAGGCTGTCCTCATGGCCGTAAGAAAAGGTGGCTCAAACTCTAACACTTCCAGCTTGTATTAGGATGATTCCCAGCTCGAATTCCGGCAGGGGCTCTTAACTATCTTAACATGGGAAGTCTGTAATTTTCTTCCAGTCCCCCAGTGAAATTCCTCTACAGTATTGTGACATGGCGCCTGAAAGTCGGAATAATGGAGCCAGAACGGAAGTCTAGTGCTAGCCAACGGCTTCAAAACACCCGTTTCCGCAGCAACGAAGAGCAGCGGAAGTCCACTGATAGGCAACAGTTCGGTAAACGCGTTCCGTGACAAACGGTCTGACATAGTCGCTAACTAATTCCACTGTGAAGAATAAGTTCAAATCTAACAGTGTCTCATCTGTTCAAGATATTCTCCGCCATTTATGAACCCGAAGTTTAATTACCATGTTCACAAGAGCCCACCAATTGCCTCTATCTTGAAACAGGTAATTCTACTCCACATTTCCACATCATATTTCCTTAAGATCCACTTTAATATTGTCTTATTATCTACGTCTATTTCTTTCCAACATAACTCGTGCCTTACACAACGTTCCATTTATTTTGGTACAGCTTACCAGGAACAGAAATGTATGTCTGCCTATTTTATGAACTGTCAGTGTTCACATTACAATACCGTTTAACCCTTAAATGGTTAATCTAAATAAATTAGTTAGCAAACTGATTTCATGTCGGATGAATGTACATAGGAACGAGAGGGGAACGCCAGTTCCCTAAGCACATGTTTGGAAAGTACGGACACTATAGTTCAACTTACTCCTTTTCATTTGCTATTTCACCTGTCACTTCTGCTTTTTCACCATGAATTAATTTTTCCATGCTCCTATAGATTCTCGTCAATTTCATTTCAATATATTCTGGTAAGAACTCTGAAGCAACAAAAAGGAATGTTTTGAATAGCCCTACTTTAGAGGCACTGCAAGTTAAAAATATGTTAATATTCTATATCAGAGTCACAACGCCACTGTTACGTCATAAAGCTTTGTGTAGGTAAACAGTTTTTTAGGTCTATCTCTATCTCTTTGACCGCCTCTGTGGTCTAGTGGTCACAATTCCTGGCTGCAGATCTAGAAGTCCCGAGTTCGATTCCAGGCGCTTCCAGATTTTCTGAGAAGTAGGTGGCCCCGAACGGGGTTCACTCAGCCTAGTGAGGATAACTGAGGAGCTATTTCAAAGAAATAGCGGCTCCGGTCTAGAAAACCGAGATTGACGGCCGTGGGGATCCGTTGCGCTGACAACGCAACACCCTCTATCCGCATAAGTTGGCACTAACTTCGCCGATAAGCGGCGGTCACTCGGTCGGTATAGTTCGCTTGCGGACAAGAGGCCACTGTGCTTGCTTTTTATCTCTATCTCTTTAGGAAGGAACCCAATTGAAATCGTTAGCTGATTGGCCCTAGTAACATGAGGTAAATCCATACGTATGCTTAATTAAGAAGCGCGGCATGACGACGTATGGTAAAACGAAGGTGTATATCCACGCATGCGTATTGCCGGCAGTAGGAAATGAGTGGCCAACTTCACGCCCCCGGTAAAGAGCAGGAGTCTGGGAGGCCCAAGGTACGATCCAGATGCCCCGCAGATGGGGATATAAACCCCTGATTCTCGGTCTATGCAACTTTAACATACTCGTAGCCACTGAGCTAGCAAGCTCCTGTTAAATAAAAATTGGATACTTTTAAGATTTGGGACGGTATAACTATGAAGAATGTCAACTTTGGAAATGTGACTCTGGTAGAGTCTGGTAGAGCAGACTACACGGCGTCACATCCGAGTACACAGTACTCTGTAAGATAGGATTTTATTCAACTGCATCAGTTAATCGTTCAAAATTTAAAAAAAAAACTATTTAAAAATGCATATTATGAATTAAAACGTTACAAAGAGTCAATGAATCAAGCGTATCATCTTGGTGAACTGGATATTTTGAAATGATTCAGTGAAACAAATCACCGTACATAACCCAACTTGTGAGGCAACGCACAATACATGGACGTAAACACCCTTCCCGTGCGCCCAATATTAGTGCTACCAAACACAACAATATTTTTCAAAAAGAATGTGACAATTATTTATTTTCTGTGGTGATGAGACTATGACAAGATTCTTGCCGGAGCGAATTAAATGGTCCAGGCTCCTAGATATTGTAACGTGTATACCCATTGCTAGGTAACGGGCCGGTAAACATTCTCGCAACACACGAGGATGCCCATTGCTATGCAACGGTAAGGTAAACTGGCTTTCTCAACACTAAATGCTGCTTTCCGTGAGGTCCGTGCAAGATGGTTATAAGAAGTGTTCGGCAGGAGTCTCAAATCTCACCCGTATGAAGGCCGGGTCAAATACCTCCACCATGACTCTGCGAGTCGTAAGAGGCGACGAAAAGGGAAGTCTCAAATTTGAGACAGTAATATATGGTCGCGAGTCCCAAGGGACTCGGACCCGAGAAAGGCTGGGCTGGCAGGGGCCACCAGCACATGCAAAATACACAACCGTCCTCTCGTCAGAGAGGGCGCCCCACAAAAACAAGATCGTAACTGTCAAACAGTAATAAATATCGTCATGAGCTCCAAATGGGGCTCTACACCAAGACTGGCTGAGTGACCGTCAGTCGCAATGTGACTTTGACCTTGACAAGAGTAGTAATAGTAACCGGAGTACAGAGGATTACATAGCAGTAGTCAAGTCGAGTGAAGTTGAGTCTCGGAATTTCCAACTGCAGAAAATGCAAGAAAGGAATTAGATGATGCAAAGAGACTTAACGTTCGAGTTTAAGTTGCAGCGAGACTGTGATAAATCCGTTGCCTGGATACGACTAGTGATGAGTGAGAACCCTAGTGCGTGTGTAACGGTGAACTGGAAAGTGTGCAGAATAGCGATATGGCTGTACTACCTGTAGTCCCGAACTGTGTAAAGGTATAAGGCGAAATAAATCCAGTCATCCAATCCAGAAGCCGTTATTGTTAGTCACGGAACACCGAACACCTGACAATATCTTCTGGTACATATAAGATGTACTTTCCTAAGCGACATTGGTTCTTGTTCCGAAAATTGCCACATTTGTAACTAATTTTCAATACACAAATTCATAATACTATAGGATAGATTTCTAATGGCATGTTCCTGCGAGGCCTTTGAATGACGGGTAACTGTTTATAACGTATGTCTAAGCAAAGGCTACGGGTC